TTTTGTACGTGTTTAAAAAAATATCCAAATGCTTTTCGTCCTTTTCAATTGCGAGAACGTGTCTTTGGAATGGACCTTTTACTGGCGTATATATAGATAGATTTTTCAACAAGAAAACCACGGACAAGTTTTTTTTTGCATGGTAATGCATGTCTCATTCATATCATAAAAATCAAATTGCAAGGCACATAAAGACCGACATGACAAAACTGAAAAAATAGCAGAACATCGCTAAGCTGGACACCAAACTCCGTCACCTGCCTCCGGCACCACCACAGCAGCCACCAAAGAAAAAATGACAGATAACGTATAGGTCACATATCGATGGGGGCGGTGATGAGATTCAGCCATGGCCTCGGTGGTGGTGCTTTGCTCCGGCAAACGCCCGTGGCGGAGGCAAGGCGGCGGCTCGCCCACACCAAGCCCTGCACCCCGGAGGAGATAAGAGACGTTGCGGCCCGCGTGGCGCAGATCGACAAGGCTAAGGAGGAGTTGTTCGACATGGTGTATGGCCTGTTAGCACCTACGATGTTCCGCACACGATGAGTCGCAAGTCCATGCTTATGATGGAGCACCTCTCCTCACAACTCAAGCCTAGACCCCAAGCCCCAATCTGGTATCTTATTTGATTTTATTATTGTTTGTTCAGATATAGTAATATATCTTTTGTTTCCACATGCTAGCTATCTATTTGAATTGTACTGAGACGTCTTTCATTAAGTTACAGACCCAATTCATCATGGTTATACTCCATCTCATCCGTATTGTTTTGGTATTGTATTGCAAGCGGTTCTCTCGACGCCACGAGAGACGCAATACTTACTACAAGTTTCTAGGTGGCGTCGCCTTGCTCGCACATCAACATCTTCCACCACCAAGGAAGTCAGCCGACTGGTGGAGCAAAGTTACTAGTTGAATCCATATCTTCAACAGCATATAGCTAGCTTATATTAATGCCAACAAGACTAGATTGTTATGAGGTTTATATTAGTCATCATATAGTTAGCTACTAGCGTTATGTTTGGACGGTCTACCTGACTTCCATCGGTTTGTAAGCCTATGTTCCATGTTGGACTAATCCACTCATATGTCCTTTGCCGGCTACATAAGCTACATTAACACCCGTGGTTGCCAGATCCATCTCACTATTGATGGTGGCCATCACAAATCTTGTTTTTATGCCTGCCCATTATTTGGTGAAATTATTTCAGCATGACCATGAAGTTGCAATGTAGGCAACAATGTTTGCTTCACTACTTTTATTTTGAGATCTTGAAATTATTTCAAGATGATGTAGATGCTATGAATGAGCAGAATATACCTAAGGGTACTCCTAGTGCAGATGCTATGGATGTGAATGGTCCATACAAAGTTAACACCGAAAAAACAGGGTCGATTTGTCTTAGGCAGCCGGCCGCTTCTGTCAGGAGATGCGCACGATTAACTCCCCTTTCCTTTTTTTTTCTCCTTGCTACCTCACGTAATCACATACACCTATTTTAAGGGTGGCCCACCCTAAACCTGTCTAATCTCTCA